CCCGGCTATTTTTTGGTTGCAGCCGTCATTGTTGTTTGGCAGGTCTGGGCTGGGGATTCGAACCCGTCACCTTAGGTGTACATGGCTGGCGCCTTAGTCGATTGAGCTATAGGCGCCGAGCCGAAACAAACATTCTGAGAACAATTGGTGGAATTTTTTTTTTTTTTTAGACAGAGCCTCAAGCTGTCACCCTAGGTAGAATGCATAGCATCATAACTCATAGGACCTCCAACTCCTAGGCTCAAGCGAGTTTCCTGCCTCCGCCTCCCAAGTAGCTGGACTACAGGCGCCTGCCACAATGTCCAGCTATATTTTGGTTGCAGCCGTCATTGTTGTTTGGCAGGCAGGGCCGGCTCAGGTGTATGTGGCTGGTGCCTTAGTCACTTGAGCCACAGGCGCTGAGCCAATTGGGGGAAATTTTGACCATGATTGGATAGTGAATATTACAGAGGTATTGCTAATTTTCTTGGGTATGATTATGATGAAGAATGTCCTTATTCCTGGCAGATGCACATGTAGTATTTAGGGTTTATCTTAGTCTGCTTGGCTGTCATAGTCTTGGTGGCTTAACAAACGTTTATTTATTTGAGACAGAGTCTTGCTCTGTTGCCCAGGCTAGAGTGTCTGGCATCATCATAGCTCATAGCAACTTCAAATTCCTAGGTTTAAGCAATCCTCCTGCTTCAGCTTCCCAAGTAGTGGGGACTACAGGCACCTGCCACAATGCAAGGCTAATTTTTTTTTCTACTTTTAGTAGACATGGAGTCTCACTTTGCTCAGGCTGGTCTCAAACTCCTGAGCTCAAGCAATCCACCTGCCTAAGCCCTCCAGAATACTAGGATTATAGGCGTGAGCCACCATGCCTAGCCAACAATAGAATCTTCTTGCAGTTCTGGACACTGGAAATCTAAGAGCAGGGTTCCCGCCTGGCTCTGGTGAGGCTCTCTTCCTGGCTTGGACAGGGTTGCTTTTTCTTCATTTCCTCAGATGAGCTTTCCTAAGTGCAGACTTTCAGAGACACTCACTGGTGCCTCTTCCTACAAGGCCACTAATGCCACTGGGTAAGATGCTTCTCCCATGAACTCATCTAACACTAATCACTCCCAGAGGCCCCATCTCCAAATACCATCACATTGGGAGTTAGGGCTTCAATATGAATTTGTGGGGGACATGTACCTTACTTTTAAGTAGTTCAAATATGTCAATCATTTTGTCACCCTCTGTAGAGTGCTATGGTGTCATAGCTCACAGCAACCTCAAACTCTTGGGCTCAAGCGATTCTCTTGCCTCAGCCTCCCAAGTAGGTGGGATTATAGGCACTGACCACCACACTTGGCCATTTTTAGAGGCAGGGTTTCATTCTAGCTCAGGCTGGTTTTGAACCTGTGAATTCAGGCAATCCACCTGCCTAAACTTCCCAGAGTGCTGGGATTACAGGTGTGAGCCACCATGCCCGGCCTACAACTTTTCTGTATATTTTTAATAAAAAATTGGGGAAGGGGAACAGATCCTTAGAAATCATATTACCCAAGTTCAAATTCCAGGTTCATAACTTTGTGAACTTGGTTTAGTTTCTTAGCCTGAGCCTGTTCCTACATCCTAAAAATGGAAATAATGTGGTTGGTATAAAAATGAAATAAGATAATGGCTGTAGAGCATCTGGCATATAGTTTATTTTCTCATACGTTCTCTTTTTATTCTTTTTTTTTTTTAAGATAGAGCCTCAAGCTATCCCCCTGGGTAGAGTGTTGTGGCATCAGGGCTCACAGCAACCTCCAACTCCTGGGCTCAAGCAAGTCTCCTGCCTCCACATCCCAAGTACCTGGGACCACAGATGCCTGCCACAACGCCCAGCTATTTTTTGGTTGCAGCTGTCATTGTTGTTTGGCGGCCCTGGGCTGGATTCGAACCCGCCATCTTAGGTGTATGTGGCTGGCGCCTTAGCCACTTAAGCCACAGGCGCTGAGCCCCAACCTTTATTTATTAAGCACCTACTATGCACTAGTCTATGGACTACATAGGAGCTTGTGCAAACTTTGAACTTGCCACTCTCATCTACATCTTACAAACTGCGGTTGTAAGCTATGAAGAGTGACTGGCCCAATGCTCAAGCTATTCAATGGCAAGGCTGAGATGTCAACCCAGAGCTTTCAAGTCCAGTGACCCCAAGGTAATGTGATAGACTATAGGTAAAATATATATGTATGTTGTTTCTGTGAAGTTTATAGAAGATGATAGAAGGGAGAACAATTTGGGAACTGGAGAGGTCTGTGAAGATATGGAGGCCTGAAGAGCCTGGCCCAGGAGTGGGTCTCTAAGTCTTCTCTGCCTCCGACTTTACATGATGTGGCTCTCAGACTCTTCTTCCCTGCCACCCTTTTGCCCACAGAGGCACATTCACTTCCAGTTAACAGTTGGGGAAATAGAAGAGGTTTGGAAAATGACTTACTTTCCAAGAGTTCTGGCACCTGTGCCATTGTATTTTATCAGCTTCTGTGACTTGTGACAATCCTTGTGGGCCTTGGTTTCTTCACAATGCACATGAAATTGTGCCTATGTCAAGGGTCCCAGGAGATGACGACTGCACATCAAGCTTTCTCTAGGTAACCAGCTCTGCTGCTTGCCAGGCCTGAGTCCTCTACCCTAACCTGGGAGGCTAACTATGAGCCTTGCTGTTCATGCCACCCAAGGAACTCTAGAAATAGTTTCTGTGTTTCCGGAGAGGCTGCTACTGGAACTATAGGAACATGTGATTTGTGAATCAAGAGACACTCTCAACAGAGTGAAAGGTGACCAACAGAATGGGCAAAAATATTTGCAAAAGCAACCCAATTTAAAAATGGCAAAAGTCTTGAACAGGTGCTTCTCCAAAGAAGTTAAACATAGGGAGTTAATGCTTAATGGGCACAGAGTTAATGCTTGATGGGCATAGAGTTTAAGTCCAGGATAATGAAAATCTTCTAGAGACGGAGGGTGGTGATGGTTGCACAACATGAACATACTACTACCACTTAAAAATGGTTAAAATGAGCCAGGTGTGGTGGCTCACGCCTATATTCCTAACACTCTGGGAGGCTGAGGCAGGAGTATCCCTTGAGTTCAGGAGTTCAGGACCAGCCTGAGGAAAAGTGGGACCCTGTCTCTGCTAAAAATAGAAAAATTAGCTAGGCATTGTGGCGGGCGCCAGGAGGCCAAGGCAGGAAGATCACTTGAGCCCAGGAGTTTGAGGTTGGGCTGTGAGCTAGCTGACACTAAGGCATTCTACCCTAGGCAACAGAGTAGGACTCTGTCAAAAAAAAATTAATTTTGATTTTCAGTCCAGCTCTTAAATTGCCATCTAGACATACTGGTGGAAAATTCAGTCTCAGTCTTGGCTGGGTCTTCCTCTCTGGTCTAAACTTGGTATGTCCAGCAGATGTCATCCACCCTAATTGACAAATAAACTACTCTGCTCCCTGGGCAGTGGCCGGGTGGAGGGGGGGAGGGTGTGACTGGCTGTGAGGGTATCCCAGCCGGGAAGTTCCTAATGCTACACGTGCTCTAGCAGAACCTCTCTTGGAGGGGGTGGCTGTCAGTGAAGCCAGTCCTGAAATACTCTGAGCCTGGGCATCACCAGAAGGTATGGGCTACCGTGTTGGAG